AAGGAATCCAAATAACAACAAATATACCCCAGTTCTAAAAACAAAGCGAAAACTTTAACGCCTGCGGAAAGGAACCGCCAGACGAGCAAGTCTCCTTTGACTCGCTATGCAGAATAAACGCCCCTTTAAAATGGTTACTTAAAATGGTTACTCTGCTCGAACACACACACACGTACACACATACACACACATCCTCTCAGTCATCTTTCCATCCCTAGAACTCTTACAGTGTTGGGGTGGGAAAAACAGCCCCCCTTTGATTGTACTAAATAGGTGGATGAAGCTTTCCCAATGCTATTTATTTCTGGGGGGGGGGGCGGTTGTAAAAGAAAAAGAAAAAGAGGAAGAGGAAGAAGAGGAAGATGAAGAAGAAGAGGAAGAACCACCAAAACGGTGTCAGCTGGGCTTCCCAATCCGTTCCTTTAGTAGCCAAGCGCCGTCGAGCTCCCTTTGGGCTGGCTGGGAGCCTCTGGATTGTTTAATAGAAAGATTTATATACTAACAGTATTATTTACTTTGGGAGGGGAGGTGGCAGTCTAAGAGTATGCTAATTAGCCGGAGATTGGGGAGGGGGGTAGGAAGGGGGTGGAATATCAATTTTTATTGCATCACCTGTCAGGAGTGTCCAATCAGCGCTGGCTTTAGGGGAATTAATTGATGAAGGTGTCTCCGGACGAGCTCACTTCACTCTGTCATTTGATTTGGAGCGAAAGCAGCGGCGGGAAGAGCGGCTGCGTGGCTCTTCTGCCTCCTCCAGCAGCCCCCTGGCTTTACATTCCTTTATCCTGGGCTGGACAGGGGGAAGAGCCGCCAGCCGAAGGGTACAGGTAGCGAGCCTGCCTCCTCAGCGCCGTCGTGGAGAGAAAGGCCGGGGCCACCAAGCTGATATATTCCCTCCCCCTTCCCAGGACATGATTTTTTTATTTCCCCCCACCCCCCTCCAGGGCTCTTTCCTCTTCTCCCCCTTTCTGTCTTGCGCTTCTGATTTTTTTTAATCCTCCAAAGTTTGATCAGGAATAACACGCTTTGTTCTTTTCCATTCATCAGGATGCCTTGAGACCAGGTCCAGCATCTGGCTGCGGATTTTTTAAATTGCCTTTTCGTGAGTGGATTTCCTATTTTCCCTATCTCTGACGCCCCCCCCCCCGCCGCCGCCTCGCACCTTTTCTTCCTGCTGCTGATCGCCGTTCCAACTGGAGGGGTGCACGGGGGGCCGTTGCCCTCCCGTTTTCCGCTCCCCCTGCCCAGATGCTGGGCTTAATTTAGGGCGCACCATGGGAGACTTAAAGTCGGGTTTCGAGGAGGTGGATGGCGTACGCCTGGGCTACCTGGTGATTCGGGGCAAGCAGATGTTCGCCCTCTCGCAGGTCTTCACAGATCTCCTGAAGAACATCCCGCGCACGACGGTACACAAGCGCATGGACCACCTGAAAGTCCAAAAGCACCACTGCGACCTGGAGGAACTGCGGAAGCTCAAGTCCATCAACTCCATCGCTTTCCACGCTGCCAAATGCACTCTTATCTCCCGCGAGGACGTGGAGGCGCTTTACACCTCGTGCAAGACAGAGCGGGTCCTGAGAACCAAGCGCCGGGGAGGCGCCAGGCCGGGGCAGGACGCCCTGAGCCCCGACCCCTACGCGGCCTTTTGGAAAGACGGCGGCAAACTTTGGCTGGGCTTGAATGGAGGGACCGCGAGCCTGGCCAGCAGCAGGAAGAAAGCAGCCTGGCGCGCGGCAGCGGCAGCTGCACAAGCAGGAGCTTTCCTACCGGCCTCGGATCTACCTCATTTTTGGAGCAAATCCGCCGGGCGCAGTTTGCCGAGCTTGGCCCGATCTCCTAGCAAAGGGTCTGTAAACTATGAAACGGCCCCGCTTGGGCCCCGCTACGTCTCCCTGGCCACAGAGCCGGCTTGTTTTCGGAGCCTGCTCTGCTCCAAGCATCCTCATTACTATTACCACTCCTCGGCCGCCATTGCCACTCAGCCCAAGCTCGCGGCAGCAGCGGCGGCGGCTGCTGCGGCTGCAGCGGCGGCCGCGGCGGCAGCAGCAGCCTCCAGAGGCAAATCGCTGGGTCTGGGCTGCAGGACGAAGCGGAAAAAAAGCACCGAGAGGCGCTTCTCGGCGGGGTGCGGGCGGCGCGTGGTGATCCTGCCCCGAGCTTGCAAAGCAGCCGGGGGCTCCGTGGCGGAGCGGCTGCCTGGATTGAGCGGTTTCCTGGCCCCGCAGCCGGCTCAGCCTTTCCCAGAGCCCTACAGCAGCGACTCGGAATCCAGCTCCTATTCGGATCACGCAGCCAACGACTCCGACTTCTGCTCCAGCCTGACCAGCACCAGCAATTCCGGTTCCTCTGAGGAAGAAGAGGAGGAAGGCAGCTACGCCTCGGATTCCAGTGAACTGAGCTCAGACGAGGAAGAGCAAGAAGAAGAGGAGGAGGAGGAAGAGGAGGAGGAGGAGGAGGAGGAGGAGGAGGAAGAGACCAGCTCAGAATCCGATTCCAGCTCCGGATCCAGCCAAGTCTCGGTCCAGAGTATCCGCTTCAGGCGCACCAGTTTCTGCAAGTCGCCCAGCCTCCTGGCTT